CCTTGCCTTTCTTTTTCCCCAAATATCGACGACGCCATTTTCCAGTGCTTATGTCGAAAATCCTCATCTCTGTAGGAGCACCTCTGAAGTCGCTGTTATGCTCACCAGCAGTAATTGGCTGTACATGCAAAGGATTCGTCGAAATAATCCAATCTAGCTGCCGTGGTCGTGGCCTTGAGCGATATTCTCTGTTGACCGCACATCGATGTGGTATTCGTATATGCACGGGAACATCGTCTTCCACCTCATGGGTCATTGAGGAGATATTTCCGGATAAAACCATTGCTTCTTCGTAATGTCTGAAAAAGAGACTTCTGCAACCAGCAGAACAAGCAACAGTGGCGCACCTAGTGTTGATATATGGGTTCTGCGCCAAGCTTCTTAGATTCTCTTCTGTTCTGTCCAGAAATCGCGTAACCTATAATGACGCATCAGCAATATTTGTTCAATATGACCAGAATTTGTCCAACATCTTGAAGGGCTGCTTGAGTAATAGCCGCAGTATTGTTGGAGGCATCCATGTGTGTCGAAATCTTGCAAAGAATGATTCGCCCCACGTTTTCAGAGACTTATATATTGGCAAACTTTATTTATCAAGATTGTCCATAACCACACGTACTCTACAGTTGAGCGGCCTCTTTTTGTAACATGCCCACTATGAAATGATACAACTACGACTTATATTCGGGACTCCGCAGAAGAGTTTGGTTGATTCTTCATTACATCTATCCATGCTGAGACTGCGATGACTGTAGTGTGATCATAGAAGGTTCGTGCTCATATTGAGGCAAGTTTTTCATGCGTATCACGTTACCGCAATCGGCATGCAAAAGCGTATTGGGGTTCAGCTCACTCGAACCTGTTTTTATCATTGCATAGCACTTTTTCATAGTAAGTCGGGAAACCTAGTACGTTTGAAACAAATTTTCTTTGAGCTATATCCTCCAAGCCATAGTCCAACTTGAATGACTCACTGCTTCATATTTTTGTTTACGATTAGTCCTCCCATCAAATAAGTCCGCCTAGAATAAGCCCGCCATCAGATAAGTCCGCTTTTTTTACTCAGATAGATATCAGGTAAGTTCGCCTACAGATAAGTCCGTTTTCTTCCCATTATA